TGTTTGTTTTGTTCAAAACTTGGGGCCTAGTTTAGACAAGTTAGATGCACGAGCTACTAAGTGTATCTTCCTTGGCTACTCAAGGACTCAAAAAGGGTATAAGTGCTATAACCCTAACTTCCATAAGTCATTTGTGTGCTCCGATGTAACCTTCTTTGAATCGGTTCCTTTTTTCTCAGACACTAGGGTTTCTTCTCCTTCCCTCGTAGTTCCTCTTCCTGTCCCTGTTGCGGATCCCCTTCCCGTGGTTCCCATTCCAATTGCAGATTCACCTCCCGTGCCGGTTACTACTGAGAGGCCACCAATCAGACAAGTGTATACTCACAAAAGAACACCGGCCCCTCCTCCAATTCAGCCCTCGTCAGCAGATCCTATCATTACTTCTTCTCCGTTGGACCTTGATCTTCCTATTGCCCTGCGGAAAGGTAAACACACTTGTACTTCTCATCCTATGTCACACTATGTTTCAGCTACTCACATTTTTGCTTCTCATCGCAACTTTATATCATTGCTATCATTTGTTTCCATTCCCAAGACTGTCCAGGAAGCCCTTACCTCCCCAGGGTGGCGGCGAGCATTGGAAGAGGAACAATCTGCTCTACAACAAAATCAAACATGGGAACTCACTGCTCTTCCTCCTGGTAAACATGCTGTTGGGTGTAAGTGGGACTACACAATGAAGTATCTTCCAGATGATAGTGTGGAGCGATTGAAGGCTAGGTTAGTGGCCAAGAACTATTCTCATCTATATGGTGTGGGCTATATGGAGACATTTTCTCCTGTGGCTAAAATTGGTTCAGTTGGGATGTTGATTTCGTTAGCTGCTATGTATGATTGGCCTCTTGTGCAACTTGACATAAAAAATGCTTTCCTACATGGTAAACTCATTGAGGAAGTGTATATGGAGCAACCACCAGGGTTTGTTGCCCAGGGGGAGGATGGTAAGGTTTGTAGAATCAAAAAGGCAATTTATGGACTGAAACAATCTCCACGCACATGGTTTGGCAGGTTCAGTGAATAGTGAAAGACTTTGGGATGAAACAGTGTCAGGTAGACTATTCTGTGTTCAACCATAACTCAAAAGATGGAAAAATCTTGCTAGTGGTGCATGTGGATGATATTGTCATAACTGGGAGTGATAGTAATGGGATTGACAGGTTGAAGAAATTCCTACAAGACCACTTCAATACGAAAGATTTGGGTAAGCTGAAATACTTCCTGGGAATAGAAGTTGCAAGGTCAAGGCATGGAATTAACTTATGTCAAAGAAAATATGTTCTTGACCTACTTGAAGAAACAGGACTGTTAGGTGCTAAACCAGCAGAGGCTCCTATGGAACTTAATGTCAAGTTGAGTGTTGATGCAGGTGGAGAGTTTGATGATCCTGGAAGATACATGAGGTTGGTGGGAAAGTTGAATTATCTGACTATTACCCGACAAGATATATCATTTGTTATGAATATGGTGAGTCAGTTTTTGCAACATCCTTGGATTCCTCATTGGGAAGCAGTTCTAAGGATTGTTAGGTACCTGAAGGGTGCTCCAGGTCGTGGTTTGCTATACAAAAGTGGAGGGACTCTTGAAATAGTAAGGCATACAAATGCTGATTGGGCTGGTTCTATATCAGATAGGAGATCAACTATAGAGTATTGTACCTTCCTTGGTGGCAATCTTATAACTTGGAAGAGCAAGAAACAAACAATGGTGGCAAGGAGTAGTGCAGAACCTAAGTACAGAGCTATGGCTTATACCACATGTGAACTAGTATGGTTGAAGAACTTGCTACAAGAGATGGGGTTCTCGGTTGACAAACCCATGAGACTATACTGTGATAACCAAGTTGCTGTTCACATCTCTTCCAACCTAGTCTTTCATGAGAGAACCAAGCATATTGAGGTCGATTGTCACTTTGTGAGAGAGAAAGTGATAAGTTGAGTGATAACCACATCTCATGTAAGCTTAGGAAATCAGTGGGCAGATCTCTTTACAAAGGGATTGTTTCGGGGCAGAGTAGATTATATTTATGACAAGTTGGGACTATATGACATATACTCTCCAGCTTTAGGGGAAGTGTTAAAGTACACAAAACAGGGGTATTTTGGTCATTTGGGTTTATCTATTTGAGAGTGAAAGGTCTGTTTTATTCAAGTTTAAGTTATGTGTCCCATCACTTATGAGGGACAATATGGTCTTTCCTGTAACTATGTTATTGGAGATAAATACAAGTGGGTCGACTAGAGAGAGGACTGATTTTCCTCTACTGGCCAAACCCTTCTTCTTCTTCTTCTTCTTCTTCTTCTTCTTCTTCTTAGGGATAGGGGTAGCAAGATCCAAGGCATGGTATTAATCTATGTCAGAGGAAGTATGTTCTTGATCTACTAGAGGAGACAGGGCTGTTGGGTGCCAAATCAATTAAAACACCCATGGAACCAAATGTCAAGTTAAGTAGTGATGCGAGCGAGGAGTTTGAAGATTCTGGAATTTATAGGAGGTTGGTAGGTAAGTTGAACTACCTAACTATCGCTCTACCTAACATTTCATTTGCAGCGAGTGTAGTGAGTCAGTTTATGCAAAATCCTCGGATCGCACATTGGGATGTGGTACCAAGGATTGTACGGTACTTGAAGGAAGCTCCAGGTTGTGGCTTGTTATATGAGAGTGGAGAGAGACTTGAAATAGAAGGATACACTGATGCTGATTGGGCTAGTTCCATATCTGACAGAAGGTCCGCTAGAAGGTATTGCACATTTCTTGGGGGCAATTTGGTGACATGGAAGAGTAAGAAGCAGACAGTGGTAGCAAGAAGCAGTTTTGAAGTTGAATATAAAGCCATGGCACACATGAGAACTAGTATGGTTGAAGCATCTCTTAGAGGAAATGGGGTACTCGATTAACACACCTATGAAGTTGTATTGTGATAACCAAGCTGCAATTCATATTTCCTCCAATCTTATATTTCATGAAAAAACAAAGCACATAGAAGTTGACTGTCACTTTGTAAGAGAGAAGGTACTTAGTGGAGTGATAAGCACAACATATATGAATACAGGAAATAAATGGGCAGACTTGTTTACTAAAGGGTTGAGTCAGGGAAGAGTGGATTACATATGTAACAAGCTAGGACTATATGACATATACTCACCAGCTTGAGGGGGAGTATTAGAGTCGACTGTTGAGGGGTTGTATAGTCAATTTACATTATTTTATATGCTGATGTAGTTACGAGTAGATCATAAGTTAAGTGATGTGTCCCACACTTAAATGAGAGCACAATAGACTTTGTACAATATTTTAGAAAGCTATAAATAGAAGTGGCCGACTAGAGAGAGAACTCTACTTCGAACCAGACTTTGTTTCTTCTCCTTCTCTTCTCTTCTCCTTCTCTTCTCTTCTCTTCTCTTTCTCCTAATCTTTCTCCAATATTTATTTCTATTCATTATTTCGAACCTAAGGATATCACCGGTCTGAACTTTATCAGTTACCTTCAGTCTCTTGCTGACCATGCTCTATTCACAAAGCTAGAGGGAAGATTGATAGTTTCTTTAATTGTCTCTGCTAATGATATTGTGATTACAGGTAATCCAACATAAATTGATGGCCCAAAGATATTTATAGCTGTTGAGTTTGAGACCAAGGCCCTTGCAAATCTAGTATATTTCTTAGCAATGCTGTCAAACTTGGATAGGATCCAATAGTTGAATAGAAAAACTAGTAACCTGGTCAGCATTGTATGTTCATATTATGTGGTGGTTTTTACAAGATGAATGATTTTGACCTGTTAAATCAACAATACTGTGAATTAGTGACCTTTTTGGTTCTTCAACAAGTCCAAGTCTGACGACATTGTTTCCTAGTATCAAACTGGCATAGTCAAAGAAGATACTTCTCTCTCATAAAACATATCTTAGATCATCTAAAGTGAAATTGGGGGTTAAATAAGTAGATACCCCAACTGATCCTAATCATTACCTAGCTGCTGATCAGGGAGTGTTACTCAAGGATTATGGCATGGACCAAAGGCTAGAGGGGAAACTCCTAAATTGTGTTCAACTCCGCTAGAGACCTCCTACATAGTAAGTGTTGTCAGCCAGCATATGCACAAACTATAAGCACCTCATTTAGAAGGAACTAAGAAAATATTCTCTTATTTAAAAAGTTTACTAGGTAGAGGAATCTTACATGACAAGCATGGAATCTCATAGTGGAGACACATACAGATGCTATCTGGGTTCATTCAATCTATGATACATGATCTACGTAAGTGTAATATAGATGTTTTGGAGGCAACATTTAATATGTAGGTCTCAGTGTCAATGAATATGTCAGTCATCCAAATATAGTAAACATGACAGAAATGCCGTATGAAAATATTGTGAAAATTACAGACAGTGGAAATATTGTGAAATGTGTGAAAACATACAACAATATTTTATGAAATGATAAAAGCATAATTATGGCATTTTAGAATTTTATCTTGTTCCAACCCATCAAGCACAACCAAGAAACTAAGGTTAATAGACAAAATAATGCATTGTGAAGTCCTATAAACATTAAGAGTCAAAACTAAATAATAAAGTTCAAACGAAATTTACACTAACAAAAATGTGCAGATTATTCTAATGCAAAATAATATTTTCTTAATAGTACTCCAAGTAATCTATTACACAAACAAAAATTCTGATATAATGTCACATCCAAAAAGAATTTCAAACCAGCTAGAAGTGGTTATCATCTACATTAGGTGGGCTATAGTACAACTCCATATATCTGCAATATTATTGCCAACTCATCATGTTAAAATACCACCCCATATACTACTCCACATAGTGTAGATAGTTTTCACTGGGAAATATGCCAATTTAGTAATATTTCAAGATAATACCTATGGAAATGGAAATGCCATATAAACATTAGTGCCTGTTAGCCTTGACAACCATGGCATACACAAAGAAGGGATAGAAATTAAAAAACATTAAAGAGTTTTCTTCTTGTCAACATACCATGCTCTGTAATGGTGTTGCTTCTAGAGGAATCTTGTTTTTGGCTCTGTTTTGGATCTGACCGTACAATATTCAATTTCTTTCCTAGCAATTGCTTTTTGTTCTTTGATACAGCTGCCACAAGATGTATTTCATCGGAGAAATCGACATATGCCAGTCCCTTTACAAATTCAAATAATCAGAATACCTGTGAAAAATATTAAATATGGAGCATCTCGTACAAAGTCAACATGATTGTATAGTTCATTCAACCACTGACAATCAAATGTCTCTATCAGACATTTTGTCAGATGTCATTTTGCAACTCAAAAGTCAAAAGCCATATTTCTACAATGTGATAAATAGCATGTAAAACAGATGGCATTGATTCTGGGCTACCAGCATTTCCAAACCAGAAATCCTAAAAACAGAGAGAAGGAAAAAAGAAAACCAGTTCAAATAAATGATTCCATGAGCATAAAAGTTGGTCATATTCGATGAGACATATCATTCATTACCGCAAACAAAAGACCTAGTTCAGTTAAAAGGATCTATAGTCATACAGAAAAAATACATATAGAATGCAGGTCAAAGCATTAAAAAAGAACTTTCAGAAACAAATGGCTGGACAGAATTACTGCAAAACATTGAAACAAGGAACAAAGAATAATGCATCAACATATTGGAAACTATATATAGGTTCCTCCGGGGAAAGCCAGCATGAAGAAAAAGGAGGAAAGGAACAACAACCTAAAAATGTGGAAATTGATTTTATGGAACCTTCAGAAACAAATGAAACAGGACAGAAAAGACAAACACAACAAATGTCCAAACAACAGATAGATAAGCAAAGACAACCAACAGCTCAGAATTAAAGATAATAAAGACATTATTGAGAAATTGAGAATGCACATAGACTGATCTCTACATGGTACTTGAACAGCTCTAATATTAAGGGCTCCTTTATTATCTCCATCAATGGTGTCTTTATGTTATATTATGTATTCAAACATGTATTGAAACATTAATAATTAGATAGTCACATTCTTTAAATTGAAATTCTTCCAACCAGTGATAAAAATTAAATAAATAAATGCAGACTGTTCACATTCTCAAAAATTCAAAGCTTCTAATGAATGACACATATCTACGACCTTTAGATAAAAAATTCAGTTGACTTCAAAAATGTAAAAATTTGCTAGATCATACATAAAGCAGCTTTGGGATGTTGAAGAAATTTACAGTGCCTTGGGCAGCAAGCTACCTAGATTGATTCATAGGAGAGAAAATCAGTTTGTAGCTCCAAATGCCATGTGAAAAATGCAAAAGGTGCACACTCAATGAATTAAGTGCATGACTAGGCTACCTTGGCACCTTATCGAATAACAGACGCTTAGAAGTCATTCAAATTACTTGGAATCTTTGTTTTTCTTTTGTCCTTAACATTTATTGGTTACTTTTACTAGTTATGATAGAACCTGTTATTACTAAAAGTAACAAAATAATAGTTGATCATTGAATTGGCTAGTAGGAGTTTTCACATTACAATGAAGAGGCAAGACTACAAGAACTTAGAGCCGGTTCGTTTCACTCTCAGTCTCTCACACAGTCACACCTGAAGCTGCAAATGCAAGAACGAAACAGTTGTTATTTCTCTCTTCTCTTTTTCTTCTTTGCTTCCTTTCTTTTTGTTGGTTTAAAACAGGGGTCACACCCCCTTTTCTTTCCTCTTCTTTCTTTTATCATTTCCAAAGCTTTTGAATTGTTTTATTAGACAAGAACAGGGGTTTCATCCCCCCCCCCCAAGTTTTCTTCCAAAGTTCATTTATTTCTTGGTCTAAAACGGGGGCTATGCCCCCTTACAGTTCTTTTAAGTTCTAGCTTCAAACTCAAATATTATGTTTTGCATACTTGACTGCAAGAAGCATGTTAGAATACACAAATCAGGGGTATTTTGGTCATTTGGGTTTATCTATTTGAGAGTGAAAGGTCTRWTTTATTTAAGTTTAAGTTATGTGTCCCATCACTTGTGAGGAACAATATGGTCTTTTCTTGTAACTATGTTATTGGAGATAAATACAAGTGGGTCGGCTAGAGGTGGACTGATTTTTCCTATTCTGGTCGAACCCTTCTTCTTCTCTTCTTCTTCTTTCTTCTCTTCTTCTCTACTTTAACCTAGAATCGAATAGGGATTTCACATGGTATCAGAGCAATAAAACCTAGTTCTCTTTTCCCTTTTTTTTCTTTCCTCACTGTTTGTCTTCTTCCTGGGTTCGCCGCCAACTATTTCAGCTTTCTTCGATTTGCTTCTAGCCTGAGTGGAAGCTCGACAAGAGGCCAAAAAGAAGTGGTCGTTTTGTGGTTTTGGAGGTGAGTATGCCTCTAGTTACTGTGGTGGTGGTCGTTGAGGTTGTGTACTAGATGCCCTCTATTCTGTGATACGAAGAGGGCTGTTTGTGGACAGGTATGAGCAGTTCTGTTTTTTGCCCAAATAGTGGACTGTAAATGCTGTGCTTTGGTTCAAAATATTTTTTTTGTGG